TCAGCCTCTGTGGGCAAGAAGAACTCCAACTTTATGAAAGAAATATCGTACACCAATGAGAAGATGATCGGCAATGGATCGTTCGGTGTGGTGTACCAGGCCACCCTTCTCGAGGAGAACGAGGTGGTCGCTATCAAACGAGTGTTGCAGGATCGACGATTCAAGAATCGTGAACTCAACATTATGGTCTCACTTGATCACTGCAACATCGTTAGACTGAAGTACTACTTTTACACCTACAAAAACGTAAGTGGTTGCAGCATATTGATTGTGGAAAGTTTTTAGACTAACAAAAACAAATTTTATCTGACAGCCAAAGGAAGACATTTATCTCAACCTGGTGCTGGAGTTTATACCTGACACTGTCTCCAAAGTGGCGCGCTACTACATGAGACAAGGTCAAAAGATGCCAATGATCTTCGTGAAGCTTTACATGTACCAGCTCTTTCGTTCCCTCGCCTACATACACACCCTGGGCATCTGCCATCGAGACATTAAACCGCAAAATCTTCTTGTCAATCCAATGACTGGTGTTCTTAAGCTCTGTGATTTTGGAAGGTACTTTCCTGGTTTTGCAGCCTTCATTTTTACGTTGTTTTTAACATTTTCTTTTCTCCTCTCTTCAGTGCAAAGCATCTTGTTCGCGGTGAGATGAACGTATCATACATTTGTTCACGCTACTACCGGGCCCCAGAATTAATTTTCGGCGCCACTGACTACACCACAAAGATTGGTATGTTTGTTTAATGCTCAAGTTTGACTTTTCCATGCTAATTCATTCATTCTTTGCTGTTCATTGCAGACATTTGGTCAGCCGGTTGCGTCTTTGCAGAGCTGCTTCTCGGCTATCCCATCTTCTCAGGGGAGTCTGGTGTCGATCAATTAGTCGAGATTATTAAAGTCCTTGGAACGCCGTCGAAAGAACAAATTAGGCGAATGAATCGACACTACACCGAGTTTAAGTTTCCCAAAATCAGCGCCAACCCCTGGGAAAGAGTAAGTGTCCATTCTTTTTCTGGTAATCTTGTG